CTTTTAGTATGGTTTCCACGCAATCCTTTATAAATGAGACCCCTGAACCGGATTACCGCCGGGAACCGAATTAAACCTGATTCTGGATCAAATCGATTCACAATAAACTGTCAGCTGCAGTCAACTAAACTGTTAGAAACTGAAAAACACTTAACTTTAGCAGAGAGAGGGCTATTTAGAGCTTTTTACTACTTTTATTAGCGTCTTGCTAATTTTTATTAGCATCTTGCTAATTTTTATTAGCCCTTTTTCAAACAGCATCTTGCTACCTTTTATTACAGCTGTTTGCTATTTTCTTATTTAGGATGCCCCTGGGTGCACTTTTTTGGTCCTAGGACTGTTTTTTAAAGAAGTACATACCCAAAAATGAGTAAAAAAAATTTAAAAAGTGAATTTTGCATAATAACACTTTTTATTAGCCATTTGCAACTTTTTATTAGTTTCCTGCTAACTTATTAAATCCTTTTGCTAATTTTATTAGCTTTATGCTACTTGTCATTAGCCCATTGCTACTTTTTATTAAACTTGTGCTACTCTATTAGCTTTTTTCAGTTTTTGCCACCTTTTATCAGCCTCCCGCAACTCTTTATTAGCTTTTTGCTACTTTTTCTTAGCCTTTTGACTTTTATTTTTAGTCGTCTGTTATTTTAAGCTTTTGGCTAGCGCCTTGATATATTTAGCTCCAAGCTAACCTTTTGCTTTTTGTAGCTAGCTTTTGACACTTTAATCAAACATTTACTACTTTATTTAGCCAGCTAAACCTATGCTACTGTTAGCTTCTAACAACCTTTTTGCTCTTTGTAGCTTGTGCTTTATTTCTTGAAGCTATAATTTTGCTGCCATTTTTCCTCATTTTATGTGGCTAGCTCTTTTTAGCTTCTAGCTAGTGTGGTGCATCTTTCAGCTTGACTAACTCAGTTTCAGCTTCTTCAGCTCAGCAGTCTTCGGCTGTCGTTCAGCTCTCAGAATCAATCTGTATTTTCACAGTAATGTTTTTAATCTTCAGTCACTTTAAAGCACATGAAACAACAAATTTCTTAGAAGCAGGTAAAGAAAATGGAAGTAGTCCAGGATTATAATCCAGGATTATAATTTCTGCGACGCTTCAGACTCAGTCTGATGATGGTGCTCAGATTCAAACTACTGCTTAAAAAGTAAAACTAATGAAAACAAACCCATGACAGGTTGCAGCAGCAGAGTTTACAGATTTGAGCAGATTACCATCTAGTGGACAAAAACATCATTACTGTCAAACTTTACCTGGTTTGTGCAGAAAAATTACCTTTAAAATACATTTTTAAATAAAAAAAAGGCAAATAAACACGAGGACAGAAAATATCACAGAACACAGAAATAATAAAACTAATATTTATACATTTAACAATGTTTGTACAATAATTTCAGTTAATGTGACACAGAAAAGGCACAGAGTCTAATCTGAAAATAATAAAATACTGTAATAAAGTGCATTTTAACATCACTGCATAAATATTTAATTAAAACAAACATTCAGAGCAGGTTCAAGAAATACTGCTCTGAAAATCTGTAAATAAACATTTTCAATCTAAAACTGACTGATCCAGGATTATAATCTGAAATTGACAGTTTCAGGATTATAATCCAAGATTGACAGTTTCAGGATTATAATCCAAGATTGACAGTTTCAGGATTATAATCCAAGATTGACAGTTTCAGGATTTATATAAACTAAGACTGAAACACCTGGGATTATAATCTAAAACTGACAGACCCGGGATTATAATCTATGACTGACTGACTCAGGATTATAATCTATGACTGACAGACTCAGGATTATAATCTAAAACTGACAGACTCAGGATTATAATCTAAAACTGACAGACTCAGGATTATAATCTAAAACTGACAGACTCAGGATTATAATCTATGACTGACAGACTC